GTTGTAGATTTGAGTCTGTCAGTTTACCCTTCTTTTCATGGAGTACACTGTCCAGCAATTTCATGAAAAGGGGAGAGTGTGGAGTATAATTTCGAGACCTTACATATCTGAAAATATCTTTATTCTAATCTCATAGTAGAGCAATGATTTGGCTGGATAGAGAGTCTAGGTTGAGATTCATTTTACCAGAATTTTAAAGGAAAGTCTCCGTTGTTTTCTGTGTTGTGAAAAACCCCTCTGCCTTTTTTTGTGCTACCCATATATGTTTTTTATCTTTAGAAATTTCTAGGATCTTCTCTATATTCCTGGTGTCTGAAGTTTTTATGAGATATACTGGGTGTATCTTTTAAGGAAAATCATTGTCTCAGGAACTTAGGGCAATTCGTCTTTCAATTATGAAATTTTGAGACAAGGATGTACTCTTTTGCCCAGTCTGGAATGCAGTAGGGTGATCCTAGCTCACTGTAGCCTGGAACTTCTGGGCTTAGACAATCCTCCTGCCTCTGCCCTGGTAAGTAGCTGGGACTACACGTGCGCGCCACCACGCCCAGCTAATTTTTTTGTAGCGATGGAGGTTTCACCATGTTGCCCAAGTTGGTCTCAAACTCTAGCAATCCACTCACCTTGGCCTCCTAAAGTGCTGGGATTACCAATGTGAGCCACCAGGCCTGACCTGGAAATTTAATTTTTGGATAATTTTCCTTCATCCCTTTTCTCTCTGTATTTTAAGACAGGATCTCACTTTATCACCCAGGCTGGGGTGCAATGGTGCAATTATAGCTCACTTCAACTCCTGGGATCAAGATGTCCTCCCGCATCAGCCCTCAGAGTGGCTGAGACTACAGGTCCCATGCCATTACACTGGGCTTCTCTGTTATTTTTTATAGAATGCATATCAATTGTATTTTGTACTTTCAGATAGATCCTCTTCTGTTTTTAAAATGTTTGTCTGTTTTTCTTTCTTTTTTTGAGTCCTTCAATCTTTTTTCCAACCTTATTGTTTTTGTTTTCTGTGTGTTTTCTTGAAACAGGGTCTTGCTCTGTCTCCCAGGTTGGAGTGCAGTGGCGCAGTATTGGCTCACCCTAGCCTCTCCCACCTGGGCTCAGGTGATCCTCCTGCCTCAGCCTCCTGAGTAGCTGGGACTACAAGTGTGCACCACCATGCCCAGCTAATTTTTGTATTTTTTTTGTAGAGACCAGTTTTCATCATGTTGGTGGGGCTGGTCTCAAACTCCTGGCCTCAAGCAGTCTGTCTGCCTTGGTTACCAAAGACTGGATTACAGGCTTGAGCCATGGCGCCTGGCCTGTTTGTGTGTGTGTGTGTGTGCGCGTGTGTGTGTGTGTGTAATTGTCATTTCTTTAAATTTTAAGCTCTCTGTCTTATTTTTTGAATGTTCCTCCTACTCTTGTTTGCTGGATTGTCATCTCATATGTTAATATCTGAGGATATTAACTGTGATTTTTGTTCTTAATCTGAGGATATTAACTGATTTTTGTTCTTAAAGTTTTCTTCTGTATGTTCTGGTTTACTATCAGTTGCTTATTTTCTTCCTGTTTTGGTTTCTGTCTTTTATGGTGAAGACTTTCATCATGTTTGGTAATATTCTGTTGTATATTTGGCAAAAAGTTAACAGAAAGAAATGTTTATAGAAAAATGTTGTAAATACAGCTGTAACCTGCATTTAAGGTTTGGGCTTGTCAACTAGTAGAGCGTCAACCAGTAGGGTGATTGGATAGGGGCCTGTCCTTTTTGTAGGGAACCCTCAAAAACGTATGTATCTTTTCTTAGGTGTTGTTCAGTTTTTGCAGATATTCAAGAATCCTCTAATTGCCATTGTAGGAGATATGCTTGACTTTAGAATTCTGGATCCAAGCACACAGAGGGCTATTAGTTTTACCGTTTGATTATAGACTTTAACTTAACTTAATCCCTTTAACTTTTAATTTGGCATCTTTGCCTTTTTTAACTTTGTCCTTGGACCTGGTGCTTCTTTGATTCACTTTTCCCCAAAAATAAACCTTCTCTCCTATGGGGATTGGGAAAGAGTATCACCTGGCTGGATAGAATGGAGGAACTCAGGGATACTACATAAATTCAATCAATTTCTTTGTTTTTAGCCTTGTGCCGCATTGTGCCTCCTCTGATATCTGGTGTCTTAAATTCCTGATACTTTCTGATTTTTGCTATGTGAATTTGCTTTTCTCTTGTTGGAATTCTCTACCGTTGCCTGATAATAAGCTTTCTTAGCTCTAATCCTCCATGTGTTTTTCATTTGCCAAAAGTTTGTTGACATATCTTATCTACTATTTCTGTTGTTTTCTAGCCTCTGTCCTTTCAAATTTATACTTTTTAATTTCTTTAATCTTATGTTGGTATTTTTAAAAACAAGATAATAAGATAGTAAAAAGGCATTTTAATTTAAATGGTTATTTGTGTGTAAACGACATTCTTAAATGATTAAAGGTAAAAACAAGAAAGGAATTAAAAGCCAAGAAATAAAAAAATTAATTGTTATCACTTAATTGTGTACATATTTCTTAACATGGATATAAATATATATGTGTGTGTGTGTGTGTGTGTGTAATATACACACATACATATGTGGATATCATATAATGGATATGTGTATATATTTTATGTATAAATAGATATTTACATACACATGTTTGAATATATATGTATGTACAGATATACCTTATGTATGTCTGTATTGTTTGTAATACGTACATGTTTGTATTTACATATATAGATACATGTTGTACACGTGTATACTTTGATAATCATATTCTTTTAAAGCTGGAAAGTATCATGGTCATCTTTTACCTATTGTAGTTTAATTTTTTTTTTTTTTTTTATGTTTTTATTGAGACGGAGTGTCGCTCTTGTTACCCAGGCTGGAGTGCAATGGCGCGATCTCGGCTCACCGCAACCTCCGCCTCCTGGGTTCAGGCAATTCTCCTGCCTCAGCCTCCTGAGTAGCTGGGATTACAGGCACGCACCACCACGCCCAGCTAGTTTTTTGTATTTTTAGTAGAGACGAGGTTTCACCATGTTGACCAGGATGGTCTCGATCTCTCGACCTCGTGATCCACCCGCCTCGGCCTCCCAAAGTGCTGGGATTACAGGCTTGAGCCACCGAGCCCGGCTTAATTTTTTTTTTTAATGAGGATACCGGCATAGATGGGTTAGTGATTTACTGATAGTTTCAAAACCACGTGTTCCCAGTGTTTTGTTAAACTGTAAAAATCTTAGACATGTGAACAACTTGGAGGTTCAGAGCTATATTTAAAATCCTTAATTCTGGCTCTAGGTAAATAGCTTCAAGTTTTGATTTGAATCATAATAGTTTTTTTCAACTGGTATTGCATTGGAATCAGGGAGGGGCTGGCTCACTTGATGCTTCTGAAAGCAAAGCAGTAATTTAACATATTATGAGTTGGCACAAAAGTAATTGTGGCTTTTGCCATTACATTTAATGTAATATATTTATTAGTATTAAATACATTAATATAGAAATATATTTAATACTAATTAATATTAATTATAATATAAGGATTAATATTAAATGTATTAATACTTATTAATTAAAACATTGTATTTATATTAATATATTTAGTAACAATTAATATGTTACATTAAAAGTAATGGCAAAAACTGCAATTACTTTTGTACCAACATAATAATTTGTTTATAATGATGGTATTTAACTTATTTTGAATAAATATTAAAGATGATGTGAACTTTTATTTATCTGATCTAAGTGATTACAGTGAATCTTGTTTTTATATGAGTTTGAAAGATAACTAATAACTATTTTAATAAAAAAATTATTGCATATGAGAATCTAAAGTTTAAAGTAAAACAACGAAGCTTCTTATCAGCCAAGTTAATTCCTAAATATACAAGGCTTAGGTTCTATTTTTTTTTCCTCATTGTACACTAAATGTCTGTGTTACCGTAATTATATAGAAATAGTTTGAAAAAATTATATTTTATTCATTTAAATAATAATTTTCATAAGTACCTTTAAAAATTCTCTCAATGGATACCATTATAATAATGCTATGATGAGTGTTTTCATGAATATATCCTTTAGACATTTTTTTAAGATATATTTGTAGAGGTAGGATTTCTCTGTCAAAAAAGCATCAACATTTTTAGATTATTATCACTCAATTGTGTACATATTTCTTAACATGGATATAAATATATATGTGTGTGTATAATATACACACATGTAAATATCTGTTATATATAATATATGTATAATGGATATCTATTATATATATTTAAATTATTGTTTTATTGCTTTCTAAAAAGATTATTCTACCACCTTATATAGGTACTAGCAATGTGTGAAGAGCTGACTGATTTCACAATAACCTCATTAACTTTCTCCCCTAAGTTTCATAAGTGAAATGATTATAGTTCATTGTTTCAGTTTGTACTTTGTTGATGATTAATGAGGTTTTATCTGTTTAAAAATGTAGAATTTTCTGTTAGAAAAATGCAACTCTAAGATAGTAAAATATCTTTCATCATCAGAGAATGTGAGAATAAAGGAATAGTTGGTTGATTGCTAAAGAATATGTCATATAATTAATGAGAAATGTAACTTAAAATATCAGATAATTGTTATTAAGAACTGTTCTCATGTCTTGTCAGGAAGGCAGGCACATAAACAATATTACTTTAAGCCTTTTAAAAATTTTACAAAGTTTTATAAAAAGTAGTAAATTGAGGTAAGAAACAGTGGCTCATGCCTGTAGTCCCAGCACTTTGGAAGGCCTGCAGGAGGGTCACTGGAGTCCAGGACTTCCAGGTTACAGTGAGCTATGATTGTACCACTGCACTCCAGCCTGGGTTTCCCTCTCTCCAGAGGGAGACCTCGTCTCTAAAAAAAAATAAATAAATGAAATAAAATAAAAAATTAATTCATTGCATTTCATCCATTGTGCCACCATGTTAGAAATAATATTCTTCTAATTTAAGCTTATAGAAATGGGACGTCGGTCATCAGATACTGAAGAAGAAAGCAGAAGCAAGAGAAAAAAGAAACACCGTAGACGCTCCTCCTCCAGCAGTTCTTCAGATAGTAGAACATACAGCCGGAAGAAAGGAGGAAGGAAATCAAGATCAAAGTCAAGATCTTGGTCCAGAGATCTTCAGCCTCGCTCACATTCTTATGATAGAAGGTGATTTTCATAATTGTTATTTATATAGTAATGAGGATAACATTCTTTAACATTTATGTTTTTGTATTTTTAATTTTGCTGGATAAAAACATTTTTCTTTTACTAGCTATATATTTGTGAAAGTTAAGTCCCAACCCAGAGGTTGGGGTTTTTTATTCCTACCAGGTCCAGTCCATGGGTCTAGTGTCTTCAACCTTTGTTTATTCTTAGTAGGCAAATAGTTATAAACCGGGATAGTTTTCTTTTTAAATTTAATTTTTTTTAGAGACAAGATCTTGCTGTCACTCAAGCTGGAATGCAGTGGTGTAGTCTTAACTCTTGGACTCAAGGGATCCTCCCACCTCAGCTTCCTGAATAGATGGAACTATAGTTACGTGCCCCATGCCTGGCTAAGCTTTTTATTTTTATCTTTTACAGACTGGGTCTTGCTGTGTTGCTCAAGCAGGTATTGAATTCTTGGCCTCAAGTGGTTCTCCTGCCTTGTCCTTCCAACGTGTTGGGATTATAGGCATGAGCTATTGAGCCTGGCCTTGGTTTAGTTTTCATACTATGTAATCTGATGATATTTGGAAAGATTCTAAGACCCATAATACCTTAATTAGTAGCTGATCCAATCACTAAGTTATGTATCAGTCATCTGACTGTTCAAGATAAATAACATTTTAAATTATCTTTATTTGCTTCTGGGAAAGAGTGAGACAGTAAAAATGAGATTATTCTTTAGCATCTAGAAGGTTTTTCCTTAATGCTCATAATAAGAATTTTTATAGCAATGATCTTTGATTATATTTTATTTCAGACGCAGGCATCGATCAAGCAGTAGCTCTTCGTATGGCTCTAGAAGGAAACGAAGTCGAAGTCGTTCAAGGGGTCGAGGGAAATCCTATAGAGTTCAGCGGTCTAGGTCAAAAAGCAGAACAAGAAGGTATGCATTATTAAGTATTTATTGCTTTGTAACAAATTATTTCCAAACTGTGCTGCAACAATCATTTATTTTCTCATGATTATATAATTTTGACTGAGCTTAACTGGCACTTATTTTTTCTCACCTGGGGTCATTCCTGCAGTTATAGTCATCTGATAGCTTAATTAGAACTGGATGGTCCAATGTGGCCTCACTCATATATCTTGTATTTGGTTCTGGTTGTTGGCTGGGGTGTACGTGGTTTCTCATTGTCCAGTAGGCTAGGCTGGGTTTTTTTTCGGCCTAGTGGTGGTAGCATGTGTGTTCCCCAGACGTGAGTTTACTAGAATTTTGTTAAGGATTTTCGCGTCAGTATTCATCATGGATTTTTGGTTTGTAATTTTCTCATAATATATTTGTCTGGCTTTGGTATCAGAGTAATGCTGGCCTCATAAAATGAGTTTGGAAGTGCTCCCTTCTTTGCAGTTTCTTGGAAGATTTTGAAAAGGATTGACGTTAATTCCTTTTTTTTTTTTTTTTTAATTGTATTTTAAGTTCTGGGGTACATGTGCAGATCGTGCAGGATTGTTGCATAGGTACACACAAGGCAATGTGGTTTGCTGCCTCCATCCCCCTATCACCTCCATCTGGCATTTCTCCCCATGTTATCCCTCCCCGACCTCCCCACTACCCCACTGTCCCTCCCTTGGCCTCCCCAACAGACCCCAGTGTGTGATGCTTCCCTCCCTGTGTCCATGTGTTCTCATTGTTCATCACCTGCCTGTGAGTGAGAACATGTGGTGTTTGATTTTCCGTTCTTGTGTCAGTTTGCTGAGAATGATGGTTTCCAGATTCATCTATGTCCCTACAGAGGACACAAACTCATTTTTTATGGCTGCATAGTATTCCATGATGTATATGTGTCACATTTTCCTTGTCCAGTCTAGGGCTGATGGGTATTTGGGTTGGTTTCAGGTCTTTGCTGTTGTAAATAGTGCTGCTATGAACACTGTTCGTTGTAACAGAATGATTTATAATCCTTTGGATATATACCCAGTAATGGGATTGCTGGGTCAAATGGAATTTCTTTTTAAATGTTTAGTGGAATTCTGCAGTGAAGCTGTCTGCTCCTGGGCTTGTCTTTGTTAGAAGGTTTTTGCTTACTGATTCAATCTCCTTATTAGTTATAGGTCTGTTAAGATTTTCTTTTTCTTCATGATTCAGTCTTGATAGGTGCTATGTTTCTAGGAATTCATCCATTTCTTCTAGGTTATCCAGTTTATTAGTGTTCTTAGTAGTCTTTTATAATCTTTTTGATTTTTATGGCATCAATGTTAATGTCTGCTATTTCATTTCTGATTTTAGTTATTAGCCTTCTGGTATTTTTTTCTTCTTTTTCTCTTTTTTGGTTTAAAAATGTTGCTCTGTTGCCCAGGCTTGGGTTCATTGGTGCAGTCAGCTCACTGCAGCCTCAAACTTCTGGGCTGAAGTGATTCTCTTGCCTCACCCTCCTAAGTGACTAGGACTATAAGCATACGCCACCAGGCCTGGCTGATTTTTTAAAATATATTTTGTAGAGGTCAGTGTCACCATATTGCTCAGGCTAGTCTCCCAACTCCTGGCCTCAACTGGTTGTCCTACCTTGTCCTCCCTAAGTACTGAGGTTATAGGTACCAGCTAGCTTGCTTGGCCTCATTTTTTCTTAATCTGGCTAAGTACTTGTTAATTTTATGTTGTTTTTTTCAAAAAAAACCTTAGTTTTATTGATTTTTTTTCCCTGAAAAGTTTTTCTCTTTTTGTATTCTCTATTTCATTTTTTTTTTTCTGTAATCATTTTTATTTTCTTCCTTTGGCTAATTTTTGGTTTAATTTGTTCTTCTTTAGTTCCTTGAAGTATAAAGTTAGATTGATACGAGATTTTTCTTTTTTTCTTAAATGTAGATGTTCATGGTAAAACTTTCCTCTCAATATTGCTTTTGCTGCTTCTCTTAAGTTTTACCATGTGTGTTTGTGTCTTCATTTGTCTGAAAGCTATTTTCTAATTTATCTTATGATTTCTTCTTTGATATATTCGGTTGTTCAAGAGTGTGTAATTTCTGCATATTTGTGGATTTTCTGATTTTCCTACTGCTATTGATTTCTAGTTTCAGTTCTTTCTGTTTTGAAAAGATACTTGCTATGATTTCAGTCTTATTAAATTTCTTAAGCCTTGTTTTGTGGCTTAACATGAAATCCGTCCTGGAGAATGTTCCATGTATGCTTGAGAATAATACATATTTTGCTGCTGTTGTGTGGAGTGTTCTGTATATGTATGTTAGGTCCAATTCACCTGTAGTGTTCTTCAGGTTCTCTTGTCTTATGTCTTAGTTTTCTATCCATATTGAAAGTGGAGTAGTGAAATATCCTACTGTTACTGTGTTACTAAATATTTCTCCCTTTTATTTGGCAATGTTTGCTTTGTATATTTGGGTGCTCTGGTGGTAGGTGCATATATATATTTATAAATTGTTATATATTCCAGAATAATGACCCATTTATCATTATATTATTATCTTTTTTTCTTGTGACAGTCTTTGACTTAAAGTCTATTTTGTCTGATATAAGTATGGCCACTTCTCTTTGTTGGTACCATTTGCATGGATTATCTTTTTCCATCTTTTTTAGTATATGTGTGTGTTTACATCTAAGGCACATATTTTATAAACATTATATACTGTCATTGTATCTTACGTGTATGCGTGTGGGTTTTGAAAAATCCGTTCAGCTACTCTGTGTGTTTTGTTTGGGGAGTTTAATCCAGTTACATTTACAGTAATTACTCATGGGGAAGGACTTAACAGTTGCCATTTTGTTGATTGTTTTCTGCCTTGTAGCTATTTTGTCTTGTGTCTCCTGCTGCTTTCCTTTTTGTTTTGTTGATTTTTGTATTGACATGCTTTGATTTTTTTTTTTCCGCATTTTATTTTGTATATGTTCTATAGGTATTTTCTTTGTGGTTGCCATGAGGCTTATATACAACATTATCTATTTTAAGTTGGTATAACCTTTGTTTGTATACAAAAATACTACTCTTGTATATTTCTCCACTCCTATTTTATGTTATTGATATCACAGTTTATATCTTATTGTATCCATTAATGTAGTTTATATTTAGTTATTTTTTATGCTGTTGACTTTTCAATTCTGTGTATCAATTAACAATGTTTTATATGACACCGTTACAGTGTTATTGTACTCTGTACTTGTGTATATATTTACCTTTACCAGTGAGCTTTATGTTTTTCTGTACTTTTGTGTTGCTATCTAGTGTTGGGTCATTTCCACTTGCAGGATTCCTTTTAGTATTTCTTGTAAGACAGGTCTGGCAGTGAAGAACTCCCTTAGCTTTTGTTTATCTAGGAAAGATTTGATTTGTCTTTGTTATTGTAGAACAGTTTTGCTGGATATAGTGTTCTTAATTGACAGGTTTTTTTTGTTTATTGTTTATTGTTTTTGTTTTTGTTTTTTTAGCACTTTGAATATATCACTCAATTCCTTTCTGGCTTGTAATGTTTTCACTGTAAAATTGCTGAAATCTTACAAAAACTCCCTTGCATATGATCTGTTTAATGATATCTTATAGCCCCTTATGCTTCTTTCACTTTTGTTTATTCTTTTTCCTTTTTGCTTTCCTGACTCAATAATTTTAAATTGACCTTTCTTTATGTTTTCTGATTTTGTTCTTCTTCTTGACTACTTTTGGTATTGAACTTCTCTAGTGAATTTTTTCAATTCAGTTATTGTATTCTTTTGTGCTAGCATTTTTGCTTTTTTTTAAAATATAATTTATATCTTTGTTGATAGTCTTGTTTTTGTTTATACTTTATTTTCTTGGCTTTGTTTAGTTGTCCATCTATGTTCTTTTTTGGATCATTGAGCTTTAAGACAACTATTTTCATTTCTTTGTCAGATAATTTACATATCTCAGTTTCTTTGAGGTTGGTTTCTGGGAATTTATTTGTTCCTTTGATTGGGATAGGTTTCCTTCTTTCTTTGGCTGCCTTGTGATTATTATTTTTTGGCTGAGGTTTATGCAGTTTAAAAAAACAGCTGCCTTTCCTAGTCTTTATGGACTGGCTTCTTATGGGGAAAGTCCTTCACCAATCAGCCTTTTTCAGTGTATGCTAGTTTCCTCATCAGCGCCCTTTAGCAGGTGAGAGGTATCATTCCCTCTGATAGCTCTCCAAAATGCTGGAATATTTGAAGCATGTACTTCACTCTTCTCTCTTACTCATGACAAAGAAACAACAAGTTGAATGTCTTTTCCCAATGGTGCTGAGTCATCCCAGTCTCTGTCTTTGGTACTGCTGGCTCTGTGGTGCCAAAGTTGGCTCTGTTCTCTTTTGTTTTTGTTGGCACCCAGAAATCTAACCTATGCTGTTTCCATTAGTGTTCCAGGCAAGACAGAAACCCATCCCTTGGATAGCCCTGAGAAAAGTCAGAATGTTAACATTCCATGTTTCTTTTTCCCCCCCATCCCTTACCCCAGAAGCCATGAGCTGAGCTAGAGAGGGGCAGACAAAGGAAAATGGTTCTTCTTTCCTATTTCACTGAGGCTGTACTTGGCTTTGAGCTTGCCTGGAAGACTGCAACTTCTTAACTGTTTTTTGAAGTTCTATACAGGTATTTGGTTTGTATATTATTGTTTTATCAGTGTCTTTCTGGGGGAATGAGGGCTGGGGCTTCCTATTCTGCCATCTTGCCATCATCATTCCAAATTAACTTTTTTTTTGTTTCTTACAGGCTTTTTCTAACTTTTATTTTAAACTAATTTTAGACTAACAGAAAAGTTGTAAAAAATAATACAGAATTTCCTTGTACCCCTCATATCACCTCACTTGGTACAATAATCAAAAGCAGGAGATTAACATTGGTACAGTTCTAGTACTAGGCTATAAATTTTATCAGTTTTCTCATAATGCTCTTTTTCTGCCTCAGGATCCAATCCAGGATTTTATGTTGCATTTAGTTCTAAATATCTC